AAATCGACGATGAAACCAAAACCGAATGCAGAATATGCGGGCTAGCCGAAGAGACGATGGAACACATAATGAAAGACTGCCCTGCCATGAAGAAACACTATCCAGAAAATTGGAACCTCCATACAATGACCACCAACCCGAGAAAAGCTCTAGAAATATGGCAACAATTCCCGGACAAATTAAGCCCCCCTCCCCCAATATTGGACAGAAACGACGACGACTAGACATCCATCACGCTCAAGAACACACACACGCAGCACCAGGCTCTGCAAAAACCGTCCAGAAACTAGCAGAGATATTAAGCGATAATTGATACGAATTATACTCCGACACAAAAAAACTTCTTAAGAACCAAAACAAGTTTTGCACTTTTGAGGAGTGCAACTATCTGTGTCAGGGGAGTAAAAAACTTAAAAATACATGCAACATAGACAACTCCATCAGTGCTTAAAATAGAGGAGGATAGATTTTAATTGACACTTCTCTGGTTGCTTTAAAATTGACTCGATTTCTGTATAAAATTTAGCGGATGTATTTGTTAAGCGTTGATATGGCCCTATCCAACCTGTGCACGGACCATCGCATGACTGATAGTCCCACTTTAATTGCTATCAGATCCGCATTCACCTTGGGTTTGTTACAGTTAATCAAGCATATGTTTGCTACAGATGCAACGTTTACGGTGGGTTTTAAATATAAATGCTAATGCGACAAGTGTTTTTGCATTATTGAATACTTCGCGATAGCTGCAAAGATATCATATGAAGACATTATCATAAGAAAATTTAGTTTCTAAAAGCTGCTGGCAAAAGAAATGAAAAAAATTTGAGAAAAATTAACATGCGTTTTTATTTGGACTCACATTTTAACAATTTTTCTGGTCATTTGAAACATGCTTTCTGCTCCAATATTGCCGCCGCCGTTGATCTTTGATCAATTTTTTTTTAAATTTTCAGATGGAGATGTAACTTGGACGTAGCAAAAAAAACGCTAGTTCGAAATTGTCGGGATTGATTGTGGGGAAGGTGGAATTTGTGCAGAAGGTGGCCAAAGTGATTTGGCAATGTCGGGCGGTCCTTAGGTGGATGGAGTTGGTTGATGCAGCACCTGATCCTGTGAAGAAAAATAATCGAAATTATTTTTAGGGAAATGTCGGAAGGATGGGTTGAAAGGAATTATGAGGAAGAGAAGTCGACGGACTGGACAATGTTTTGAGTTTTTTCGATCTGTTTTGTTTGTATATTTTATTGTTTTATCTTTAATCGGCTTTCATCGGCAAATTCCGCAACCTTGAGGTCAGTCGTGTACTAAGGTTCCCATTCCCTGTTTTAGCTTGCACTACACTCACTAGACTAGCGCTTCCGTCATATGTTTTTTCCACGATCCCAAGTGGCCATGATAAAGTCGGTATCATCATCAGTTATGCATACCAGGTCTCCTTTTATCAGGTTTTGTTTTTCTTCAGAGTTTAAATTTCCAGGTTTCAGAGCGGTTAAATGCTCAAAAGTCCATTTTTTTCAGAATTCTGCAATTAGTTTGTGCAAGTTATTGAAATTAGATTGTACTGGCAGTATTGTTTCATTTAGTGCTTCTAAGTACAATCAGTAGTATATGTACTTTCAATAAAAGTTCAAAAAAATGAAAGGCTCCGGGTGGATATTGTGTCATTGAACACTTACGGTCAAAATCTAATGAGAAAATTTTGAGAGATTTAAAACGGATTATGACAGCAGATGAGCTTGCGGATTGCTTGGCTAAAGTTTCGCAAAAATCTTCTGCAAACTTTAAACGTTGCTTCTATTTTTGATTGCTTCGGTCCGAAAACTTCGTTCAAAGTTGGCGTTTTTGAGTTAAACTTACTTCTAAGCTCGAAAAAAATTTCTGACTCTAATTGATGTGTAGTCGTGTCAGGGCAACCATGGTGAATGCGACCGTCAGTTTTTGGTTGCTTTATATTTATTTTCATCTCTTTTGAAGAGTACAGAGTTGACCATTGGAATGATTAGTTCTTCGGGAAACATTTCTTCTAAAATATTTTGATCCTTGGCGCTCGGCGAAGAACTTGAGGGGGTCAGGGGCCTCTCTCTCCAGCCAGGAGTCGGGGCGCGGGTCACTGGTGATGCTCTCACAAAGTTGGAGTACCGATTTCGAGTTCATGATGATGCGGATCTGGCAGCCATGGTAGTCGTTTGAGGCTACGTGTTTCAGGGCGTGGTTGATGGCTGTCAGTTCGGCTTGGAAACGGGAGATGGGTTTGGCAGCGGGGTAGCTCAGCACCGTAGCTTTTTTTTCTGGGTCTGTTGGCACTATCACTACTTCTGCTACTCTGTTCTTGCTGCTGTGCTGGGCTGAGCCTGGTGCTGCTGCTCGAGTAAACGCAAAAAGCGTACTGAAACAACTGCTGTGTTCAACATTTTTCTAAATAATTTGGAAGAGAACTATCTGATGCCTCTTTCGAGCCGAGAGCTCCCTTTTTTCTCACGTAAATGCAATACAAGTTAGAAATTTGCCTCAGTTTTCGGTACGATTCGCAGCCGTTATCTTTGAGACGGCATGTCCCATCTCTAAGTTTTCAAGATGCCTACAACAGATCAACTCCAAACTTTTACTTTTCTAAATTTCCCATAAATTATTCAATTTATTTACCAGCAATTTATAGTAAGTAAATCAATCATAATTCGGTCTTCATATAATACAAAAAGTTTAGAGCTATCGTGATGTATTCAACCATGTAAAAACACGTGTTGCATGTTTATATATAATTAAACCCCACCGTACACTACATCTGAAGCATACATATGCTTGATTAACTGTAATTTTCCGCAGACTTCGTAAATTTTTTCAAACAGCTAGATGAAAAGTGAAAGAATCCAGTGTGTGAGTGAAAGAGGTAACCCAGGTAAAAAAAATTTGTTCAACAAAACATTTTATGAAAGTATGAAAATTATTCATTTGTTCTAACAGATCCTGAGGTTTTCCAAAATCCATTTATACTAACAAATCCTGAGACTTTCCAGAATTGAAACATTTTAAAATTGTAGAAGACTTTTGCGAAACTTTATTCAAGCAATCCGCAAGCTCATCTGCTGTCGTAATCCATTTTAACTCTCTCAAAATTCTCTCATCGGATATTGACCGTAAGTATTCAATGACACAATATCCACCAGGAGCCTGTCAGCTTTTTGAAGTTTTCTTGGAACTACATATACTATTGATTGTCCTTAGCAGCACTAATTGGAACATTACAGCCAGTACGATTGAATTTCAATAACTTGCACAAACTTATTGCAAAATGCTGAAAGAAATGGACTTTTGAGCATTTAACCGTTTTACAACAAGGAAATTTAAACTCTGAAGAAAAACAAAAACTGGTAAAAGGAGATCTGGTATGCATAACTGATGATGACAAACAAAACTCAATACATTGTTCAGTCCTCCGATTCCTCTTCCACATGATTCCTCTCAGCCCATCCTTCCGACGTTTCTCTAAAATTAGTATCGACTATTTTTATTCACAGGATCAGGTGCTGCATGAACCAACTCCATCCACTGAGGACCGCTCGATATTGCCAAGTCACTTCCGCCACCTTCCCCGCAATCAATCCCGTCAATTTAAAACTCGCCTTCTCTTTGCTACATCCAAGTCAAGTCAAGTTAAGTCAAGTCAAGTTTTTTATGACCATTAGACAGTGCCTCTGGTGGTCATTTTAAATGTTCTTTCCTATCTCCGTTTGAATTCGTACATGTCAATTCCAGCCGCTTTCCAATGTTTGTCCAGTTTCCACTTGTATTCGTTGATGGTCTTGCTTTGCACTGTTTCTTGTGGCAGATTGTTCCATTCGAGAGGTGCTCTTATCGTGAAGAAATTTTTTCGCATTTCTAGATTTGCTTTGCGTACTACTACTGCGTTACCTCTAGTATCCCTATCGTTCCATCTCCAACTTTCATATCCATCTTAGAATTAAAAAAAATTGATCAAAGATTAACGAATTTTGGAGCAAAAAGCATGTTTCAATTGACAAGAAAAATTGTTCATATGTGAACTCAATTAAAAACGCATGTTAATTTTTCTCAAAACTTTTTCATTTCCTTTGCCCGCAGCTTTTAGAAACTAAATTATCATTCATTTGTGACATTCGACCAGAATGGTCAAAATGCAATTTCGCATTCGAATTTTTATTGAAGCATCTGACCGGGATGATTGATGGTTTTGATGAATCAGTGACGTTATTTGAACAAACAGACAAATTGGGAAGGGTTAGTTTTGACTGAAATGCGAAATTTTAAAATTTCGATTGGGACATGAACGACACGTAAACTTTTATTATTTTGCACACACTAAAACGTCGAAATCTGAACAACAGTAGTCTCAGTGACAACAACAACGAAAAAACAACAAAAGATTGAAATTGTGGTTAGAAATTCACATAAACCACTCCGAGTTGTAACTATTGTGCCGCTACAATCGCTACCGAGCAGTTCACATGCAACAGGAAGGGTGTTGGGACGACGTGTCCAGCCTTCCGGAAAGAAATAAGAGTGT